AAACTCCATAGTTGGGAAAGTGAACTTGATGTCCTCCATTCAAATCTGGCACTTTAAATACCATATTCAAATGTCTGACATTTATCTAGATTGCTGTTGTCTACTCTGACACTAGAAAATGTTTAATGATTCAGACAGTTGAGGTGTTTTCTAATTTTACTATTACAGTATTTTCTTTCCACATTGAATGACAGGGATTGAATGAGGCTTTTCATGAATAAAGGTGCACGATCACCTTATCTGTAAGAGAGTAATAATGACCTACCTTACAGCACAGTTTAAGGAATTATTAGAACAATTATATGAAATGCTTTGAATCTTTTAATATGTTTTATAAAAATGCTAAATGTTTGTTGTTAAGGTTTATCTGCTTAATGGGAAGCACTTAATAGTGGGAAGACGTACGCAGTTAAAAATGTGTGGGAGTTTGTACACCTGCTGTGAAGTTGCCGTGTGCATGCACTGTTTTTACTGGAAAGCAAACATGGATTTCATCCTTTGTAATCAAAATGGCTTTATGTTTTTTTTAAAAAGATACACAGAAAATTGAAATGTACTCCATTCAAATCAGAGAACGTCTATATTTATACATTCATTTTGTTTAAGAAAAGCTTTGCAGTATGCACTTTTCCTCAGTTTTACTAAATAGGGTACATTTTTGGGACTTGAATATAATAAAGAAATTCTTAGCAATGTAGAGATCATGTTTGTAAAACAAACTTTTACTTACAACTTTTTCTTCTATTATTAATTACTATGGGTACTATTTTTGAAGGGCAAAGAGATTATCAATATAGTAAATATAACTTGCTTAGAAAATAAAAATTAAGATGAGCTGAAAATTAGAGGAGTTAAAACCACTCATTGAAAATGATTAATGCTACATTTTTTGAGTGTTTAGCTTGGTCAGTTTGTCTCTGATGAGGCTTTACTGCTAAGGATTTCTAAAATGTTGTTAGTTCCATTTAAAAGTCATAATGATTTAATTTACTTAATGCTTTTGCAGATTGAAGGCACATTTTTAATTTGGGATGGGATGGGGATAGGATTAGAGGATGTGGGAGACGTATAATGCTATATCCAGAGGGGACAAGACTAAAATTTTCAGCCCAATGTTAAAAAAAACAAAACCCCAACCTTTAACTTTTGGGATTATGTATGACCCTGGGAACTTCCAGAATGAGAGGCTAGGTATTGTTTATTTCTTGCTTACAGGGACGAATCTTACTTAAAAATTGTTTTCTTCACCCACAAGAATTTGAGAGTGACTTTTTTGGGGAGGCTCCCTCTTTTCTGATATTCTGCCACTGACTGGAGATGTTGCATTTTCTAGAGATTTTTGCCTTTAAAAATTGCCTACTTTTTGATGATTATTCCTTACTGGGTCAAGAAATGGAATTTAGGTTAAAAATGTATTATTTATTTTGGTTAATTATTTATTGAACTAGGCCAACTCAGATGTTTTTATTTGAAATACAAAAGAATAAAAGAAATATAGAACTTTTTAAGAAATTAGAAAGAGTAATAAGAACATCATATTATAGTACCTTTCAGAATTTAATTGAATAAATCTGTTAGTACTTTAAAATATAAACTATTCCCTTTCCTCAATACTTCAATTAAAAATAAGGTAGTCAGGCAAGTTTTCCTTAAAGGAGATTGACTGAACATTGTAGCTTAAAGTTTCAGAATTGAAACTGTCAGAAAAATAGTGCAAGATGTATCCAATGACACATAATGCTATATTTCTCCAGAATTAGCTTGATAGGTGACTTCCTGGCTCTGGTTCCAGTCTGGATCAGATACTAGAATGAATGAAATTGTGTTCAGTAGTCTCTTCCAAATGTCGGATGTTTGCTTGTGATAGCTTTTCTGCTTTGTAAGTCTCTTGGCCATAGATCTTTCAAGCAGTTTGTTTCTAACAAGCCTGATTTCTGTGTAATGATATGGGCTTTGTTTTTTCTAGCCATAGTACTAAATAGATAAAAATAAAACAATTTCCACCAGAAATTAAGTTCAATAAAGGGTTATGGGGTATTTTAAGAACATATATTTTTATTAAGTCATGCAACCAACCCACAAGAAATGTTCTTAATTACATTGGGAGGAATACGTTTGTAAAATCAATGTGGAACATGTAATTCTCGGGTGACATCTGTAATAATGGAGCAGTTTCAGCAGTATTCTTTGTTCCTACCTAGAGGTAGCATTGACTCTGCAGCCTTTTATGTTACTAGTTCTTTTACCTTTCCTTCAGTGTAATTTGCACTTGAACACCAAAGTAGTATCTTTTATTTATACTACCAGTACTCCCACTTGAGACTTCAAAGCCTGCTTGATGAATTTGTCCAATTCTTGTCCCCTTTGTTCTCTGTAATCTAAGGAAAATGTCTTGTATGGGTTGCGTGGGTGGTCATTGGAAATATATGAAAGTATTGTTTTACTGACATACTTACATTTTTATCTTGTTTTTTTTCCCTTTACCCATTCTCATTGTCTCTTTCAATTTGTTTTTGGGTTTCTTGGATTTCCATCTTTTCCAGAAGGTAAGAGCCACAATTAATGAATAAATTCCTTTGCGCATAAGTAATGCTACATTTATTTAGCTCGCTTTGCACAGAAGCTTAGCGATAATTTCATTGCTGTTAGGTTGAAGAATCATTTCTCTGTGTACCCAAAGCTTGTTTGTGGGAGGCCAGGGCTAGCCAGATGAGGTGGGAAGGGCTGACATTTGCCAGTCGAGTCTTTGTTCTCTTTGACTTTGAGCGTTGGCTCTTCTACTTGGATGATTTCATCTCTGATTGACTTGGCAGGGTTGTCTGAACCATCTTGTTGTTCACTCTAGGATCTTCTGAATGTTGAATTAAAATAAAGCAGAACCGGAGATCCTTTTTTGGCCCAAAGGCGGCACTCATTTAAACCCCTGCAGGGTCACGCCAGGGAGCTGTACAGGAGTAAGACCATTCTCTTCCTTCTTATGCTTCCTTTCTCCCATAGCTTTTCATATAAACTGTTCCCTCCAGAGTCCCATTCCCCACCCTTTTCCCCCACAGAGCCTTTTTATTTAAACTTTTTAGATGCCTGAACTGCTGTAGGAAGGGAAGGAATTGTTTTTCTAGAGTGGTTCCAGAGCATGAGGAATGGAGGTTTCATCTGACCTCCATTTTATCCTTGTGCAGCAGTTTCACTTTTGAAATATCTTCATTAGCAACCCCACTAAAAGCTTTTAAAACACTCATTGCTATATAGATGGAGGGGCCAGATGAGATGACAAGGGGAGTCCAGTGATATAGCTCTGGCTAGTGGTTTCCTATTCAGAATACTGGCATATCTACATTGTGACTTTTAGCTACAACATACTTCTAGAAATATAAGATGCATCCCTGAGAAAGGTTATGATTTCCATACAATGAGTTAATAAACTTATGCAACCAGCAATGTGAATTATTGCTTATTGGTTTTGCAACTCCTCCCTCACCTGTGGAGAGAAGTCACACTAAAACCACTATCAGAAGCAGATGCATTTCCTGAGTCCGTTTAAATAAGCTGTGTACATTTATTTCCTGGTAATGTGCTCTTGGCTCAGTTTTTGGCACAATTTTTCTGCCTTCTAGTTTTAGAACAGAGGTGAGCTGCCTATGGCTTTTTAGGACTTGGAACCCCTTTTTAACTAGAATCACAGAAAATTGGTGGTGTGATTTTGTACTGTTTGAGACAGGAAGTACATAAAAATATTGTTTGAATCTTCAAATGCTTTAAAAAGAGAGAGAAAAAACACAGCTCAACACTCCAAAAGCCAAGGGGGAAAAAACAGTGCTATATCCATATGTACCATCACTTTCTCTGCAGCTCTCAGGTTTTTCCTAAATGTGAAATATGGCCTTATTTGACTAAATGTTGCCCACTTCTGTTATAGAAACAAAGGTTTTTGTTTCTTCATAAGCAAAGGAAATGAACTTATCTCTCAGTGGTATTATAGGCCGAGGTAAATTAAGTGAATTGTCTTGTGTGAGTAAATATTAGCCGTGTTTTTCTTATGAATTTGGTTTCAGATTAGTCTTGTGCTTAATTTAAACTCACACTTTTTGGCATATTGCAATTACAGTTTCTACATCTAGACTACATGTTTGGCAAGCTTAATGCATTGTTCATAAATGCAAGTGATTGGTTTATGAGTGTATTAGTTTTTTTACTGGGTGTTGAACTGCAAACAAGCACACATTGGAAGCAACTTGGAAGAGTAAAAAAACTGAATATATGAGCCCAGTTTATTCTGTAATGCTTCTTCTCAACTTTATTATGGATGCACAATACACACTGGAATTTGCAATTGAATTAAAAGCAATTCTTATTTTTGGTAATACTGTGAAATTGATGTATTTTATTCTCAAACCAGCATGTTTTTATTTTTTTAAATGCCAGTATGTCTGAAGCAATGAAGACTCTTAAGTCATTCACAGAAATGTTGAAACTTTTTTTCTTAACATTTTGGTTGTCGAGGTTATAGAAACTTCTATTATCTCTGCTGCTTTTTTTTTTTTTTTTGGCCTGGCACTTACGTTTGGGAATTTGACAGACTATGTATAAAATGACTGAAGAAATTTCTTTCCCTTCTCAGAATTCTCTCAATAGCAAGAGCAGTTTTCTCTTATAATTAACATGAGTGTATGAACGTTTTGGGCTATATTTTGCAGTATATGCTTGCTTATAGAGAATTTACCTGTTAAATTATATTGTCCACTGTCTCTAAAATTTCCCTTCAGTGCCGTGGCCTGTAGCATTTGTGCCAATCCTTATTTCATTTTAATTTGCATATACTGAAGAATTGTTTAGAAGTTAGTTGGACTTGAGCTGCACTCAAAATAAATAAATAAAAGTGGGCAAGGCGTTTCTTGGATCATTTCTTTTACCCTCCTGTAATGCATAATTCCAAAGCAGATACAAAGTGTGATAGCTGTGCTTTGTATTGCTGGTAGCTAATATTGCATTTCTGTTCCCAGTGGAACTTCTCCACTCGCATGCCTGAATGCTATGCTGCACACCAACTCCCGTGGAGATGAGGGAATATTCTATAAAGTTCCTGGAAGGATGGGGGTCTATACACTGAAAGTAAGTGAGTCTTCCACTTGAAATATGAACCATCTTTTAACAAGTTAAATTATACTTCAAACCACAAAGTGCCAGAATTAGAAAACTTATGATGTGGTATGCTGCTGTTTTAAACAAATGTTCTCAATAGGGCATAAGATAGTTTTTGAAAAGGTGAGTAGTGACAGTATGTGGTGTATGGATTTGACAGTGTTCCTGCATTAACCCTTATGACTGATTAGATCACAAACCAATTGTTATCCATTAATTGAAAGTCTTAATTAGCTTAACAGGAAGTTTATTGAATCAAATCCATACAATCCATTGTTAAGAGATTGAGAAGCTGTTAGAAATACAAGAAACCTTCTATTGAGTTACATTATTGATTAATTTAGTTCAATATTATTAACATTGGCAACAGCTCTCCAGGCTTTCAGACAAGGGTCTACATTTTTGATTGAATCTAGAAATTCCACACGTTCTGTCACTCAGCTAGGGTTTTTCTTTTCTGAGAATAGACTTTCCAGTAGGTTGAAAATATAGTGTAAAATGTATTGACGAAGATAAAATGTATTATCATGAAGATTGTTTTCCAAGAATTATGGTTATATAAACTAAAGAAACTAAGTGAAGAAAATAGATTGAATGTTAACTATTATAGTGCCAACAATTTGGGGTATTTTGAGGTGCACAAAAGAACAGATGTGTGGTAATCTCCATTCCTTGAAAGTTTGGGAGGCATCTTTTGGGTATACTGAAGGATGTGGGATAGTATGGACTGGGGTAGTATGAGATCCACTTTTCCTCTGGAGCTGTCGAGCTAACCTGTATCCATCCATATTAAATAAAAATGGAAATTCCTCTTGAGTACAATGCCTTGTGAATTCAGAGACACATTTATTTAATTCTCTTAAAAACTATATCAAATTGGTTTGCTACTATCTTCTTGGATTTCTTTATTTATTTAAATTTGCCAGCCCAGTTTATTGTTCTGGAATTTTCTGGAAGTCTCCCATTCAAGTACCAATCAGATCCAAATGTGCTTAACTTTCCTAGATCAACCAAAGTTAAATAAATGCCATCACCTATCTTATGCAGATAAGATCTGTGTCATCTTTTATAATTGTCTTTAATTTTAATGGAGTGTACATACATGATGTTTCTAGAAGAACACTTTCCTTCATTTTTGAACTAGTGGCATCAATTTGTTTTAGAGTTTAATTCTCCTTTATGTTAAAGTGAAATACAAAACTACACACTACATATTAGATTCTTCTGCCTCTGGATTTGTATGATTCTTTCTTTGTTACTTATTTGCAGAAAGATGTTCCTGATGGCCTGAAGGACTTGTCTGACGGCTCAGAAGAAAGCAGTGATATACAATCAGATTCTTCCACCTCAGACAGCAGCAGTAGCAGTAGCAGTGACCAGAGTAGCAACAAGGAAGGAAGAAAAAGCAGGTGGCAAAGGAAAGGTAGATATTTATTAAAAAAAAAAATTCTTCCATCTCATCTCCTTAACAAAGTACAGTTAATAGTCTTTCCTTCCTCTTTATTGGTTTTTATTGCAAAATCAATCAATCAAGATGTTTTCTTAACTGCAGTTGTTCATGAATTTCGTAGCTGGTTATGCAGCAGATTAAAGCCTAGTAACTGAAATTGTAGATGAAAATTAAAGCTTTTGTGGGTTGTCCTAATATTGCTCTAGACCCCTATTTCTTAAACCTTTTTTCTCTTAAACCACTTCCCACTTTTAAGAAATTATGGAAGGCCTCAAAAGAACTTGGTTTGCATGGGTCATATTTATTGATATTCACTGTATTTAAAATTAGAATAGATGCATTTGCTGCCAAAACTGCTTCTTACAATTATTTGATGGGACTTTAATAGAATTGTATTATTTTTTAAACATAGGCATCTCTGGGAGTGTGAGGGACTTGGGGAAACACCAAGGATCCTAGGACCAGTTTTTAAGAAATGCTACTCTAGACAGAGCTTTGTAACTTTCCCCGGTCTGCTTCTTCTCTAAAATGCCAAAAGCTTATAAGCTTTGAAAGCATCTTTTCTCAGGTGGAAATAATACAGATAGTCCTCAACTTATTGTGGCAATTGAGACCAAAATTTCCATCTTTTAACTAATGTGGTTGTAAAGTACAGTTGCTTTGCTTAGCAACATCAATCCCTGCAGTCTGGGTGGCCATCATTAATTGAATCCCATAGTTGTTAATTGAAGCCACTTCCAGCTGGCTTCTCACAACCAGTCAGCGGAGAAGTCAGCAGGAATTCGCAAGTCCCATGGTGGCAGGTAGTTGGTTGTTACCAGATGGAGGAGGGAGCAAGGGAGAGTTTAGTAAATTTACAGTATATAGCCTCCCATCTCACATAACATGACTTTGGGCAGCATACAGAGTTGGTCCAGATCTCAATGCATGTTGGGCCTTTCTAGAATAAATCCATCTCCTGCTGATACAACAGGGTGTCACTTTCTAATGCTATTTTTTAAATTTAACCTGCCTTTCATGCAATATCAACAAACAAGATTGTCTCTTTCATCAGAACAGTAATAAGCAAAGGGAGAATTAGTGGCAGACTGTATGTCAAGAGTGCTGTATATTGTATATTGTACTCTGAATATTGTTGGCATGTGTGGCTCTAATGAGTCTTTACAGGCAGTCTTCAACTTATGATCACAGTTGGGACAGGAATTTCTGTCATAAATCATAGCAGTTGTATGTCACGTCAGACCCAATTTTACAACACTATTTATAGTGGTTAAGCAAATTATCGTGTTTCTGAAGTGAATTGTGGTTTTTAAGCAAATCATGTGGTCATTAAGCAAATCCATCTTCCCTGACCACGGCAAGAAAGATAGCATATTACAATCTTGTGATCGCAAAATATTGCAAACCAGTCCTGAATGCAGACTGGTTGCCCAATGTCCCTGTTGTGATCACGTGACCCTGGGCGGGGTGCAATGATCATAAGTGCGAGTACAGATCATAAGTCACTTTTTCCATTGTAACTTTGAATAAACAAGTCAAGGACTACCTGTATATCCTACAGATATATGCAGCACTACATACAAAGGGCAGTTTCAAAGGAACTATTTGGTCCTGCAGTGGGTTCTGAATGCCAGTAACTTTGCATCAGCTTCATCTCAGCAGACTATGTATCTCTAAGTTGAGAAGGTAATCACAAAAACTAGAGGAAAATTGAAATACAAGATAAATAATTATTGTCCAGTTTAGTGTCACTATCTTATCTTAATGTATTATCTGAATACATATTCTCAATGCTCCATCAGGATTCCCTCAAAAAAGGAGCAATCTACAGTAACACTTTGAGATGGAATGTGCACCCAGAGAAGCAGTGGGGGAGAGTTTTGGCAACACAGAACTTTCCAAGAGAGAGGCCTAGATTAAGAGACTACACAGTCAAGATGGAGGGGGGACAGGAGAAAAGGTTCAGGATAGCCACATCCTAGAATCTCTCAAGATCTATCTAGTTAGAAGATTAGGGTTTAGTTTGGTAAAATGCTGTCTATTAGGTGTAAGCAAATAAAGGATTGATCTCAGTTGGTTTTTGTTGTGTCATCTCCAGACTTGCGTCTGATACATTCACACTTGGTATGTATAACTATTAAGTTCTACTTGTCAAATATTCAGTCACTCATATTGTTCATACACCTGGGTTAAGAACTGTCTTTAAGAAAAGTGATGTGTCATGGTTCCGATGCAGCTCAAAAATCTTCATCCAATCTTGTGCCACATTTGATAAAAACGGTGAAAAAAAGCATGTGCAGTTTTTTCCTCCAGTAAGGAGGTAGCAGTTTTTCCTGCTTTGATCCCCCAGTGCTACTATACTTCAGCATTAATTTACAGTTCAGACTAATTGTTCTTTTTTGCATTGATTTTAAAAGAAGTGTTGAAGACTAAAGTTAATTTGCCTTAAACTACACCTGCTTTCTCTCACTTAGTTCAATAATAGACAATATTTATCCCTCTAAGTGTTGCTGAATTTTAGCTCCTCTGAGTTGTAACCACATGGCCAGTGGTGAGACAAAAGGGAAATGCATTGAAGTTCTAAAAAATTGTGCAAAAGGCATTTTGTTATGCAGAGAAGCTTGGTTTTGCAGAATGTATAAAATCAAGTTACTGAAGAGAGTCTGTCTTGTTCCATTAACTTTTGTACATAAAAGAATTATATAAAGAACCTACTGAGCAAATTTCTTACATTTAAACTGCTAAACTGGAGTATTTTAACCACCATGGTTGCATCTCAGTCCTATTCTGATATTTTAACTGAAGATTGTTGAAAGTTCAAAGGGGATGTAATACAGGAAGAAGTGTCAGCAGAGTATATGACTTTCAAATTAGCATGTGGCTCTGGAGAGGATTGCTTTATTAAGTCTTGCTTAAGTTACAGATTGCTAACTGTTTTGAGGCTTGGTAATAAAATTAATGTGCCAAGAATAGATCTCTCCCAGTATATGCCAAAAAGGTCTCAAAATTATTATTTTTTCTCAGTAAGAGTATACTTGATAGTTTGTCTTCCCTGACCCAAGGAGCTTGCAGTTGTCAAGGACACCATTTTACCATTCATAACTTGGGGGAAGATGGAAAGTGCATGAGGACCTGGTGGCCGCCTGGAATGGTGCGGCCGCGGGGGCCCTGGACCGGGTCGTGCCTTTGCGGCCCCTCACCCGATGCCGGTCTACCTTGGCTCCTTGGTTTTCCGAGGAGCTGAGGGTGATGAAGCGTCGGAAGAGATGCCTAGAGAGTAGTTGGAGGGCCACCCGCTCCGAATCCGATCGGAAATTGGTAAAG